GACACTGCGTTTTGCTTAGCTTAAAATGCCCTGCAAGTGGAGTCGAGACTTCCTTACACTGCTCATGTTAAACGTATCAAGAACCTCCTCGATATACATCTCTTGAGATACCCAAAGCTTCCCATTCTGTCTGTCACGAGAAATCTTCATTCCAAGGATCCGTCTAGCCGGACCCAAACCCTTCATCGCAAAGGATTTATTCAACTCCTTTTTCAACCTGGCAATCTTTGCAGTATCATGACCAACAATCAACATGTCATCGACATAAAGCAAAAGAATTATAAAATCACCATCAGAGAATTTCTTCACAAACACACAGTGTTCAGCTGTAGTCCTTTGGTATCCCTGCCCTATCATAAAGGTATCAAACTTCTTGTACCATTGCCTCGGAGCTTGCTTCAACCCATACAAGCTTTTGTTGAGACGGCATACAAGCTTCTCTTTCCCCTTTTCCTGAAACCCATCTGGTTGCTCCATGTAAATCTCTTCTTCCAAATCACCATGCAGGAAGGCTGTCTTCACATCAAGCTGTTCAATCTCAAGATTCAAGTTGGCCGCTATCCCAAGCACAACTCGGATTGAAGACATCTTTACAACAGGAGAGAATATCTCATCAAAGTTTATGCCCTTTCTCTAATTGAATCCCTTCACAACCAATCTGGCTTTGTACCTCGGTTGTGAGCTGTTCTCACTTGTTTTTAGTCTAAACACCCATTTATTCTTGAGTGCTCTCTTGCCCTTAGGCAGCTTCATCAGGTCATACATGTTGTTCTCATGCAAGGATTTGATCTCATCTTACATGGCTGCTAACCACTGATCTTTCTGCTCATGACTAAGAACCTCTTCATACGACTCTGGCTCTCCCCCATCAGTAAGCAAAAAATACTCATGAGCACTGTACCTGGTGGAAGGTCTCTTGTCTCTGGTGGACCTCCTAGGCTGAACAAGAGGTGATGAAACCGGTGGTGTCTCTATTTCAGTAACAAGATCATCATTAAACTCACCATCCTGCTCTGTCTCAGCTCCTCCTTCAGGAGAATCATCTGATTGTGGAGGAACTGGATCTAGATCAACAGGAATATCAGGTGAAGATTCTGGCATCTCACCTTTTCCCATAATATCAATGGTCTGGTCTTCAAAGAGGATCACATCTTTGCTTCTGAAAACTTTCTTCTCTACAGGATCCCAAAGTCTATACCCAAAATCATCATTTCCATACCCCAAGAATACACACTGCTTGGATTTACCATCAAGCTTCGACCTTTCATCTTTGGGAATATGAACAAAGGCACGACAACCAAAAACTCGCAAATGCCTAAATGAGACATCTTTCCCTGTCCAAACTCATTGTGCTAGATCACCATCCAACGGAACTGAGGGAGATAGGTTGATCAAATCAAATGTTGTCTGCATGGCTTCACCCCAAAAAGATTTAGGCAGCTTTGCATACCTAACCTTTTCGGTAATAGTTCTGTTCACTCTTTCTGCCACGCCATTCTGCTACGGAGTCTTCGGAACACTCTTCTGAAGTTTAATGCCATGGTCTCGGCAATACTTCTCAAACGAACCCCTGTACTCACCACCATTATCTGCTCGAACACACTTCAACTTCTTGCCAGTCTCTCGTTCAAGTCTAAGGTGAAAGTCTTTGAACACATCCAATACCTGATCTTTAGATTTCAAAGAAAAATACCAAACCTTTCGAGCATAGTCATCAATGAAAGTAACAAAATACAATGCTCCACCCAACGACCTATCTTTGATGTAACATACATCTGTATGAACTAACTCTAGAGGACTGGACTTTCTAGATGGAGGAGAATTTTGAAAGGAGACCCTATGTTGTTTACCATAGATACAGTCAACACAAGGTTCTAGAGCAGTACCTTTCACCTCTGGGAGAAATTGCTTCTTACCAGAAACTGTGAACTTCTTCACTGAACTATTTCCTTATAGCGAAAACTGACGCATCTTTTGAAAGAAGGCAATCTAATCTTATGAGAATATGGGTTGAGGAGGAATTATAAACTATCAGAAACCTTACTTACGAAGAAGTAGTTGGAGCTGGGCTCCGGGAGTTTAGACTCACACGACAGCCTAAACTCAGGTTAGGAAGTAAGAAATTAGCCATTGAATATTTATATGATCGGAGTCAGTTCACACCCTAGAATAGCTAACGCTACCTTGCCCGAAGACATGGGATAGCCATAGAAGTCACATGCCGAGCAAGTTCTTGCCTTCTCTTCCTCTACCTATTTCGGGTAAGCTACATCCATACATAGTCTAAGCCTCTGATTGACTATACTATACACAGAATCTTAGTCCCAAGAGCTTCAAACACAATTGCGGGCTAAAGGCAAATAGTTCGCTAACCACTCGGAGTAGTTTTGCAGTTAAGGATATCAGCTAGTACGATGAACTAGTAAGGGGGAGGGTCTCTTCAATTAGGCTAGGGGCTGTCTTGCTAAGTCTAGCACTCTCAGAAAGCATTTCTGGTTCGTTATTAGTTAGACTAAGGGCAAGTTCCACTGCCTAATTCATTGGCCATGGAAGAGTTTCTGCCTATTTGGAACGAATGAAGCTATTAGAAGTGAAGCTATAAGAACTGAATGACGTAATAAACAAAGAAAAGCAGCAGATTGCTAATCAATGCGCGCTCCTGTGGGAGTCGAACCCACCGCAAAAGTACCTTGTTCTACCAAGAGAAGAACTAAGGGGCGAAAATCCCCATCTCTATCCCTGGGAAGAATAGAGGAAGCAAGGCAAGCTGAACCATTCCATTAGGAACCGCAGATTTTTTGGTCCATCACATTCATGCATTTACGATTCATGTGACGGTATTGATACTCTTGCAAGGTGTTCTATTTGCCCGTAGCTCCGGTTGATACCGGATAAAGCAAATCTTGGTTTTTGTTTTCCTTGTGATGGACTCGGAAGAGGGGTACATGTCAAGTCTCGGCTTGGGATCATGTCTTCTTAGGACTATTCGGATGTACAATTCCATTTTGGTAGTGATATTCCATTTTAGTTGGAAAATGCGATGATGTTTGGGGCGTATAAGTGATCAAGGGGTAGTAACTCATATCACGGGAGGAAACTTTGCTCAAAGTTCTATTACTATTAATGGATGGCTACGCGATTTCTTATGGGCTCAAGCATCCCAAGTAATTCAGTCTTATGGTTTGTCATTATCTGCATATGGCCTTTTTTTCCTAGGTGCTCATTTTGTATGGGCTTTTTATTCAGCGGCCGTGGTTATTGGCAAGAACTTATTGAATCCATCGTTTGGGCTCATAATAAATTAAAAGTTGCTCCTGCTACTCAGCCTAGAGCCTTGAGCATTGTACAAGGATGTCTTTGTAGGAGTAACCCATTACCTTCAGGTGGAATTGCCACAACATGGGCATTCTTCTTAGCAAGAATTATTGCAGTAGGATAATGGCTAGGAGGATTTGAAAGGCATTATGGCATTAAGATTTCCAAGGTTTAGCCAAGGCTTAGCTCAGGACCCCACTACTCGTCGTATTTGGTTTGGTATTGGTACCGCACATGACTTTGAGAGTCATGATGATATTACTGAGGAACGTCTTTATCAGAATATTTTTGCTTCTCACTTTGGTCAATTTGCAATAATTTTTCTGTGGACTTCTGGCAATCTGTTTCATGTAGCTTGGCAAGGAAATTTTGAATCATGGGTACAGGACCCCTTACACATAAGACCTATTACGCATGAAATTTGGGATCCTCATTTTGGTCAACCGGTTGTTGAAGCTTTTACTAGAGGGGGTGCTCTTGGTCCAGTGAATATCGCCTATTTTGGTGTTTATCAGTGGTGGTATACAATCGGGTTACGCACTAATGAAGACCTTTATACTAGAGCTCTTTTTCTATTATTTCTTTCTACCATATTCTTAATAGCAGGTTGGTTACACCTACAACCAAAATGGAAACCGAGTGTTTCGTGGTTTAAAAATGCGGAATCTCGTCTGAATCACCATTTGTCAGGACTTTTCGGCGTAAGTTCTTTGGCTTGGACAGGGCATTTAGTGCATGTCGCTATTCCCGGATCCCGAGGAGAATATGTTCGGTGGAATAATTTCTTAGATGTATAATCGCATCCCCAAGGCTTAGGCCCACTTTTTACAGGTCAGTGAAACCTTTATGCTCAAAACCCGATTGAGGTAGTCATTTATTTGGTACCTCCCAAGGAGCAGGAACTGCCATTCTAACTCTTCTAGGGGGCTTTCATCCACAAACGCAAAGTTTGTGGCTGACTGATATTGCTCATCATCATTTAGCAATTGCATTAATTTTTCTCGTTGCCGCTCATATGTATAGAACGAATTTCGGAATTGGGCACAGTATGAAAGATCTATTAGATGCACATACTCCTCCCGGTGGGTGATTAGGACGTGGGCATAGGGGTCTTTATGATACAATCAACAATTCGCTTCATTTTCAATTAGGCCTTGCTCTAGCTTCTTTAGGGGTTATTACTTCCTTGGTAGCTCAACACATGTACTCCTTACCTGCTTATGCATTCATCGCACAAGACTTTACTACTCAAGTTGCTTTATATACTCATCACCAATATATTGCAGGATTCATCATGACGGGAGCTTTTGCTCATGGAGCTATATTTTTCATTAGAGATTACAATCCAGAGCAAAATGAAGATAATGTATTGGCAGGAGTGCTAGACCATAAAGAAGCGATTATATCTCATTTAAGTTGGGCCAGCCTATTTCTGGGATTCCATACTTTGGGACTTTATGTTCATAATGATGTCATGCTTGCCTTTGGTACTCCGGAGAAGCAAATCTTGATCGAACCCATATTTGCTCAATGGATACAATTGGCTCATGGTAAAACGTCATATGGGTTCGATGTACTTTTATCTTCAACGAGTGGACCAGCATTCAATGCGGGTCGAAGTATCTGGTTGCCTGGTTGGTTAAATGCTATTAATGAAAATAGTAATTCATTATTCTTAACAATAGGACACGGAGACTTTTAGTTCATCATGCTATTGCCCTGGGTTTACATACAACTACATTGATCCTAGTAAAAGGTGCTTTAGATGCCTGCGGGTCCAAGTTAATGCCAGATAAAAAGGATTTCGGTTATAGTTTTCCGTGCGACAGCCCGGGACGAGGCGGTACTTGTGATATTTCAGCATGGGACGCATTTTATTTAATTTCTTATTAATTTCATTTCACACTGGAAACTATTCTAGGAGAAGTTCGAATCCGTTCCATTCGGATATTGATTGGTCTTGGTTTGACATGGTTTATGCGTTACTGGTTCTCGGAAGAGTTAATATCTCCATTAGCTAAACCCTTTCTTAGCCTGCCTTTGGACTCGTATTTTGTTTGTAAACAATCAACGGAGGCCTTCTCGACATATGTTGCAACGTCTTCAATAGCATGCTCTTACTTCATCTTTCCTTTAATAAGTCATCAAATTTGGTGCTTTTTGATCCCCAGTTGCTATGGTGAACAAAGGACGAAATACAATCAATTCCTCTATTTAAGTGGTTCTCGCTTTTCCTTGTTCTTGTTCCTAAGTCCCCCTCGGGTAGTTCCTAATGTTTGGCACTTTCCATACTTCATGGGTGTAACATCAACAAATTCGCTCATGATTAAAGTACAACCTAAGATTTTCTTATTTATCAAATCCTTTCTGGCGCGTTAGCTGTTTTTCCTACCACTTCTTGTAAAAGGTCACAAGGGCTACCTGTTTATGAAGAGATACAGGGGACTCTGGCCCCAGCCTTATACTTCCCCACCCTTTTGCACCTACCTGACTCTATTTCGGACCTGCCAACCCTCGAGTTTAAGGCATCTCATTAGGTCACTCATTACATTAAGTTTCAAAGGCCCTAAGATGCCTAAACCCGGCCTTGCAACAAGGAACCTAGATAGAAGAACAAAATCGTAGCCTTCATGACGTCTTAATATATCATTCTGAATCCGCCAAGTAAGAGGGAGAGGTCTAGCTTTCGTTCATAGCTGAGCTCATTGAACAACGACTGGACACTGTAGCCTTTGATTTAAATAGTTAAAAAACCCCCCACCGATAGCTGAACCCCTTACTAGTGAAAGCTTATCTTCTGATCAATAGTAAGAAAGGAAACAAACCTATTAGTCTCTTTTCGTATTAATTGTCCTTTCCTTCTTACCCTTAGAGTTAGTCGATAGCTAGTGCCCATCATCCTACCAGTCGTGGATGAAAGGAAATTTAGTTAGAACCGAATCTCCGCAACTCACTCGACGAAGGAAGGAAGTAACATCTACATCTAAGAAAGATGGAAGACCGGATATTACGTATACATAAGGAATATTTAACAAAGCAGATTTTATTCATTCCAGCACTACAAGCATTTTTATACATAAGAGTACATCCAATAGGAAGCCTACACACACGTAGACCAGCCACACAAGATTACAAAGTTAACTAAGAACATATTAAGTGAACAAAAAACATAGAACAAGATGAAAGATAACAAAGAGCATTAAAACACACTACTGTGCATTGACGGACTACTTATTTGAATCTTATAGAAAGAGTCAAAGGAACGAAGGAAGTGAAGCTATTAACTTCTACTTCCCCCCGTTGTTTCTATTTCTACTGCGGTTGCTTATGGCCCCCTCCACAAGGAGAGATTGTTGTTCTTGAAGGAGGGCCTCCTTGAGTCTGTAACCCCTTAACACTCATGTGTCCAAGCCTTCTGTGCCAGAGATCAATGGAGGCATTGTGAGTCGCATCAACCTCTCCATTCTTCAACTTTGCATTTAACACATACAAAGAGTTCAACTTCTTTCTCTAGCAATAACAAGATTCCCTCTGGTAATTGTCCAACGGCCACCACCTTCCGTGCTATGATAACCCTCATCATCAAGTTTACCAACGGAAATAAGGTTCAGACGCATATCCAGAACATGTCTGACATTCTTCAAGACAAGAGTACAACCTGTATTCGTTACCAATGATACCTCTCCCATGCCAACAACATCGCATGAGGCTTGGTTGCCCATTCTTACACGACCAAAATCTCCAGATGTGTAAGAGGTAAAGAAGTGTGTGTGAGGCGTCACATGATAAGACGCACCTGAATCACCGAAGCAATCACTGTCGTGACCCGCAACATTAATTGTATCATCATCACAGTACACAAATACATCACTGGTAGTTACTACAGCAGTAGTGTCATCATCACTTGATTCATCCTTCTTGCCTTTACCTTTTCTCGCTGCTAGTTCTCTCTTGAGAACCCTACACTCCCTCTGTACCCATTCCCTTGACAATGGTAGCACACGACATCTTTCTTGGATTTAGATCGTCCCCTGGACTTGTCATTCCGATCACGTGGCCCTCTGCGTTTACTTCTCCCTCTTATGTCTGACTTTTCTGTCACCAGAGCCTGCGACTCAGACTCAATACTCTGCTCTTTTCTTCTGACTTCTTCATTCATCAAAGCCTCTTTGATCTGATCCAAGGTCAAGACACCATCCTGGGTTGAATTACTGATTGACACTACCAAAGTGTCCCAACTGTCTGGAAGAGAACTAAACTATAACAAAGCCTGCACCTCATCATCCAACTTTAAACCTACATTACAGCTTGGTTCAACAAACCTTGAAACGAACTCAAGTGCTCATTCATGCTAGCACCATCTTTGTACCTCAACCTGGTAATCTGTTTCAGCGCAGATGACTTATTGATGCCGGACTTCTTCCAGTACATATTCTGGATTTTCTCCTAAAGTTCATCAGCTTTTGTTTCTCCCGAAAAGTGATGAAACACACTTTGATCAATCCACTGTCGAATATTACCAACAGTCTTCCTGTGCATATCAGGCCACTTTTTATTAGTCATATCATTTGGCCTACCTTTATCCCCTAGAACAGGATCAAACAAATCTTTGCAATACAACAAGTCTTCCATTCTAGGTTTCCACATATGATAATTGGATGAAGTTAATTTAATCATCGTACCAGCACCCGATGACTCTTCCATTTTATTGGTGTAACACCTCAACTACCGAACCGTAGTTCTGATGCCACTGTTATGGCGGAAAGGGTATAAACACAACAAACCACGGAAGCGAACCCCAAGAAAATCTCCTTTCCTACTACCAATAAAATAGGACAACCAAACTAGCAAAATAATTCAAGAACTGATAAAATAAAGGAGGCACACGAATTTACGTGGAAACCCAAATTGAGAAAAACCACGGGACTGTAACAACAGTCAAATCTCCACTATCACAATAATGGGAAAACAGTCTTCACCAACCGGTGGATACACAGGACTTCACCCAAAGGTGGATTACAATAATACTCTTCCAAAATACACCTAAACTACAAAGTAGGATTGGAAGGATCTAACCAAAAGAGAGTTAAACCAAAAACTAAACCCTAACTTTCCTTCTTTTTCTCTCTCGCACAAACCTTTGCGCGGCTGCCCAATTTTTCACCTTCTCTCTCGGTTGAAAGCACACACCAAAACAACCAAAGCACCATGGCTTTTATAAGCCACGGCTAAGTTAAAAAACAAAGAAACCAAACCCAAAAGGGTTTTTGGTATTTTCGGTCAAACCAAGCAAATCCAAATTGGATTTGATTTCCACTATAGTTTAGCTCAATTGAGGTGAATAATAACCGGCCCAACAATAAATGTTGAGAGTCATGTGGCAAGGATTATGAATCCCACATTGGAGGCATGAGGACATGTGAATCAGTTAATACGTAAGGTGGTTGCAAAACTCATTAGCTTGAACTTTTGAGTTCAGATGGGTCTTATCTTACTTATTGGGCTCCATGTCGGATTTTTTCATCCAGATAAATTTCCAACAGTGGTATCAGAGCCCAGGTTGGGCCAAGTTGGGTGGGTGATTTACCAAATTATCTCGGTTGATTTGACTGAACCCAGGTAGTCAAAGGCCCACTATGAGCGGAAACATAGGGATGGGCGGCCCAGTTACTCAGGTGGAATACAGGTTTGGGCTTGTCAAGATAATTTGGAAGCCCGATGTGGAGATTTCCCATGATGGGGGAGAATATTGAGAGTCATGTGGCAAGGATTATGAATCCCACATCAGAGGCATGAGGACATGTGAATCAGTTAATAAGTAAGGTGGTCTCAAAACCCATTAGCTTGAGCTTTTGAGTTCAGATGGGTTTTATCTTACTTATTGGGCTGCATGTCGGGTTTTCTCCTTCAGATAAATCCCCAACAGATATCAAGAAACAAAGCTTTTTGGGACAACATAAAGGAAACCCCAGTTATAGCATGGGAATGAGCTAAGCAGGAGCATAATATTTTCTTAAAGATCAGCAGCAGTTATGTTGGGGAACATAATGGGAGAGACTCTGTAGTTCAATTCACCACTAATGATCTTATGTTGGATATAGGAACATTTCTCATTTATGTGGATGGCTCATTTCTCAGCAAAGATTGCATAGGTGCAGCTGCGTGGGAGATTTGGGATTGGCAGGGACAAAAACTTGTGAGTAATGAATGCACATTTGTCTCCTTATCTTCCACTCGGTCCGAAGCCGTGGGAATGTCGTTTGTATCGAGGGAAGCTCTCTCCTTAAATATACAAGTGTGCAGACTATATACAGACTGCAGTATGTTACTTTAACTAGAGGAGAAGTTTGACGAACTACCATTAGATGTTCAAGGAATTAGTAACGATATTATTAGTTTAAAGCAGACATTTTTATCTTGTAAAATTATTAAAGTAAGTAGAGTTGAGGTAGAGTGAATCAGGTAGCTAAGTTTTTAACTAAACATGTGCACATGATGTACTGAGCTAATGTACTGGTTTTATGTATGGATATGAAGTTTTACTCAAAAAAGAAAATTTATATGAAGTTTTTATTGTAAAATAAATAAATAAATGAAGACTGTACACTTTATTCAAATACTATGTGCCTATGTGTATATGTATGTTAGTATTTGCAAAAACAATTTTCTCATATAACGTAAAAGGCAACTCTAACTACCAATTTGCAAATAAGAATCTAAAATAAGAAAATAAAAATTAAAGTTGTGAGGTCGAAAATATGAAATTCACCATTGTCGTGAAACTTTTTTTCTTCTGTATTTGTAGTAAATGCATAATGTATGATACAGATAGTGAGAAAAAATAATGAAAATACATACTGACTGATGTGCCAATAGTAATTAAAGGTAAAAGGGTAATTTTGGAAGGAAAGAAAAAATTTCAACGGCATAAAACTTAATTTGAGTCTGAAGTCTGAAATCTGAAAACTGAATCAAAAGTGCTGAACTGGTTAAGTTTGTCTTGTTTGATAGAGATCAAAATCTGAAGACTGAATAAAATGTCTTAAATCTAAAGTCTGAACACTGAAATTTAAAATATCTTGACTTATAATTTTATATGAAAAAAATAGATACATATGAAACTATGATAATAAAAATAATAGTATTATTATAAAATTATATAATAAAACTAGGTTTATTTTATTTTGTAATTATTGTTCCAGTTAATAATAATATCTTATCTTATCATTCAAAAAAAAGTATCATATCTTTATGGTAAATATATATTTATCATAGAATTTATTTTTATTTTAATTTTTTATATTATAATAAATATTTATTAAATAAAAAATAATTTATATAAATTTTAATTTATAACTACACACCAATATTAATAAAAATGCTTCAAAATAAAACATCAAAAGTATAAATATAAAAGTAAATAAATAGAAAAAAAAAATCATCTCAATAATTCAGTTCAGACATAAGTGATAGACATACCACTTATTTTTAGACTCACATATGTACTAGTATTTCAAACTCTCTTAATTTATTAAGACATCTTACTTTGAGTTATCATAGCACTTAAAATTTAATTTAATTAGTTAAGTTCTTAATCAATTAAGTTGTTATGAAATTATGTTATCAAACAGTTCTAATCAATTAACACTTAATCAATTAAGTTTAAGTGCTGAATTGGTTTATCAAACAGGGTCTAAGAGTTTCATTTTCGTAATGTATATGCATGCTCACGTCTTTGCGAAAATATCTGGTTCCTTCCACCATAAACGTAGAAGAAAACCCGTAACTCCTTCAAAACTCAATATTCAGGAACTTTTAATTAATTACTTAAAAGACCGCAAGAAAATCAGGGTTCGAGTCAATTTATGATTTCTTTTCCTATTGCAGTACTCCCCCGTCCATATTCACTTGTTTGGGATAAAAATTAAATATTTTATAACAGTGTTTCTAAAATTCATGAAAATAAATATAGTAATATTTCCCATTAAAAGTTTTAACTTTGTAATTGGAAATCTTTCGGATTAATTAATTGCCTCTTTTTAGTTCATCTTATTTAGTTCCGAATTGCTCTAAATTTCCTATTTGAAAAAGACATAACGGGTTGGTTATAAATAGGGAGTTCTAGGGTTTATTGTTAAATCGTTCTGGAAAACCTACGAAGAAATAATTAGCATACACGTTAATTCATCATCATCGCAATCCAAACAATGACGAACAGTACGTCAAGTTTTGAGCATTACCTCGATTCAACGTCCAAATGGTGGTGGATTTTTGGTGGAATCGTACTTCTTGGAATCATCTCTTGTTGTGTTTCAAGGATTTGTCAGGGAAATTGCTGCAAGTTGTCTAAGGATACCCTAAACGTTCCACTGTAATTCAACGTTACGATAAACGTAGCAGGACTCTCTTTATGCCGGTAAAATTTATACAATTTTGATAACAATTCATTGTTTTCTCTTTTCTTTTTTTTTTGTATATATATATATATATATATGTATATATATTGTCTTTTTGCTTTTCCGGATATAATTGTAATGGAAGAGTTGGTTTGACGGAGATTTTGTAGACAAGTTAATTGGTTTGACGTAACATGATTCTACTGTATCCTTCTTGTTGGGCATTGATTTATTTACTGATGAGAATATTCTTATTCCTTTGATCCGAAATAAATGCTACTCTCTTGAAATTCTCTTTCAATAAAGTCCCAAATATATTGGCGAAGGCTTTGTAAGGCTTCCTAATAAGAATTTTCCCCAAACTCTTAGCACATGCATACGCTTTTTATGTGCAAAAATCACTAAAATTCATTGCGCGCTAGATTAAGGGGAATCGAATCAATATTTTAATTGCAAATACTTCAGTAGTTAGTGGGAAAACCTTTGCACGTACTAAATCCATGGATTCTCCAGTAGTAAGTTACTACTCGGTGTCTATCTATAGGCGAGTTGCATGTATTATTTTTCGATTGTGATTTTCCATAAACCTCGAATAATTTTTTAAACATGTGTATTTTAAATCATTCCTCA